TCCTAAAAGAGAAACCTCTGATTGACATCGATTGGTGGAGCACTGACAATACCATATTGAAAAGACAAACCATGTGAACACTAGACATTTAAGTAGTATTTAGCTCTAATAAAGGGAAAAATACAATCAATGGACAGTAAAATCTAGCTTTAAGAAACCTATATAGAATAGAGGCAACATACAAAAAAATCCTGGCTCCTCCAAATGAAATATATTTAAAAAAAACTTTCCCAGCAGTTTATCTCGATGATCTGTGACTTCAGACAGCAAAGAGACTAAGAGAGAAAAAGATTAAAGTGAAAGTGGATTACCACGATAACCAAAGTTGATCTAAACTGCTGTACCACAAACTATCCTTGATTGTAAACTGGCACAAGATCTGCAGTCTGCCTCTGTCCAAGGTTAGTGGCTCCTTGTATACTTAATATATTTTTAAAGTAGTTCCTTCTTAGGTTGTGTTATGTGAAAAAGTACAGAATCAATGCTGCTTTCCAGCCCAGTTATCTTCAGACCCACTGTGCACATAAACTCTTCCATCATGGGATCCTGTATCCTGTTTTTTGGTACTGAAATGCCAACACCATCTTCTGTAGCTATTAGGTCACTTTAGTTTTCAGAGGAACAGCTCAGCAGGACGTTACCCTTAGATTTGTGCGTTCAGACTAATAAACCTTCCTATTACTTGCCTTCTCGCTGGTTATGAGGTACTGAACGGAAACAGAATGAATCACACACAAGGATAACCATTTCTGTTTTAATATTGTCCAATCAGAAAACACAACCAAAGAAAAGTAAACAGGAAGTAGGATTAAAGGCTTGTATAGGACTTCCTGTTTCTTTCAGCTTTTGGTCCTAAGCCATAATCATCATCATCTTCATCATTACCACCACCATTAATATGATCTTCAGCATCAACATCTTTGTAGTCCACATTTTAATTTCAAAGTCATCACAGTTGGATAATTTACAGTGTTTATTATACACAGGGCAGATTTTTTGTGTGCTTTGTGTCTGTAAACTGAACTTCCCTGAATGGACAATGAAGGTTGAAAATGCACTGAATAATTAGTATAATAATTAGAATAATACTAATTAGCTTTTTCACATCATCAACATTTGTCATCACTGAGTCAACCATCGTAATTAGTTCCACCATCATAATTATAATCATTTAATCATAACTGGTAATGTGTCTCTCATCACCAAAACTGTTTTCTTCATCTTCACACACGCACATCAACATACGTCACTGGACACACATTTTATAGAAGCAGGCAGGTCCATTAATTTGTATATGGCTCAGTTATTAACATCAAAGCTGGATCGAAGAGAAGAGGAACAACTTCAAAGTCTGCTCCACTGGACGAAAGTTCAATGCAACAAACATTAAAAGTCCTTTTTAAAAAGAAAAAAACTTCTTAAAAGTCACATTTCCAAAGGTTTCACAGGTGTTCTCTTCAGGCATTTTTGTGTCCAGCTCATGTTCCTAAGACTCTCGAGTCCACAGAATCATTTACATTAAAAAAGCAAAATCAGAAATCTACTCCCTTGAAAATCCATTGTGCTTTTAAATCCGTCATGCTGCAAGACTCTCAGCCACACAGTCCACAGCAGTGCAGAGCCCATTATACTGTACAATCCACATTGATCGGAAATCCTTTGATCTGTAGAATCTGTCACATTTCTGTCATGCAGCCAACACCTCCATTCTGCTTTATATTTTGTAGTGCAGCAGAATCTGTACAGGCTCCACAAAGCAGTCAGATCTACGACACTCGTGCACGACTGACCGTGTGTATGGTTAGTGCTGTTGTACACCGTCTGTTGTACTTTGTAATCCATCACACTGTCCCATATAGCATCAACTCTGCCAAACTGCATGCTCCTGAACATAGAACTTATCGTTGCAAACAAATATCTTGAAATGCCAGGTTCCTCAAGCTTTGCATTTCATCAGTAAATCACTTTGTGAACTTTATAGGATTACACTTGCCTGTCTTTAAATAAGTCCATTGATGATGACCTTTAATCTGTCACATCAACATGAGTACAACTGTGTTTAAAAAGCCACATCATCTGCATATAACGACACTAAACACATTTCTCTAAACAACATGCTCTCAGCTGTCTTGTTGGACATTTCATTTTACCATCTTTCATTTTGACTCTACTCACTGATTTGTCCATCAGGTTTACAAAAACAGGTTTACTGATATCTAACCGTTGACTGGCTCAAAAAAAATAAATCTTGTATTTCTGACTGTAGGTTTTGTCCAGAAGTTGAGGCTGATGTGCTTTTGTCCAACAACTTTCTGGTTTTGTGCTTTGTAAAACCACAGAAATCTGTTTGAGTTGTTATTTGGTCACTGATTTAATTTCCAAGATTGCTGTCAGCCAGAAAAAGCTTTCTGAGATGCTCTGTCAGTTTCACAGTCCCCTGGCTCCTCTCAGTTTTCCACAAGGAATGATTCCAACATTCTCATCCATCTGTCATTCAATTAATCTCTCTGAGGAGTTTGTCAGACTTTAGGAGGTCACAAAATAAATAGCAGGTTTTCTGGCTGACAGATTTGAAGTGGTAAGCATTTGGGGAAACTAGTACAATTACACCTGACCCCTTCTGGTAGCTTGCCAAGTGTGTGGATGCAGGTGTCTTTAATTTAAGAGGACATGTACCAAAAAAAAATCTCTACCCTATGTGTTGGAGAAAAGAAAATAATGTCTTTTACTTGTTCCAAACAAGTAAACACACAGAATCTTTGAAAGAATAAAAATTATATATTATGATAGCTTAGGGTTATAAATTAGTATTTTTAGAATTAGCCCCCTGAAAGTTAACTGGATCATGCTAATGTGAGTCTTTTTCCATTTAAGTCTATGAATGCCAAATTAGTTGTGCATTCAGAGATGCTGTACTGCATACTTTGATAGCAATGAGTGATTATTCGGGTTACTGTTGTCTTACTATCAGATTCCTATGAAAGCAGTCTGTTCATTCTCCTCTGACCTCTGACATCAACAGTGTGTTTTCTCAGAGAGAAATGCTGTTAACTGGATATTTTCTATTTTTCCAGACCAGGCTAATGAGAGCTGCATTCATTTTACATTTGAATTTGTTTTTCTTTTCCTGCTTTCTTTGCCTTTACAAATGAAAAACAAATGCATTTAAATACTTTTTCTTTTGGTTTTCTGTCAGGTAGCATATTTAATCTTATAGAGGGCACAGAAATACAGACTTACATATTGGCAAATGGAAAATACCTTTCATGGTAAATTCTGTTTTTGTAGTTGCTGTCAACAACTTTAAATAGAAAAACTAATTTATAGGAAATTGTAAATCTTGTCCTATTCAGCCTCTGTGCTTTTGCTTAAACCCAACAAACCCTTTATGTACCAAGGCTGTTTTGGGCCTTCTTTTAAAGTCTCCTTCAAAATGCTGTCCAGTTTTGCTTATAGAAAAGAAAACAGAAGTGTTTTCTCTGGTTTAGAGGGAATTTTGATTGAGCTTTTGTGCTGTGAGCTTTTTATATTCAGGGGACATTTCTGAAACGAGGCCCCAACAAACCCCTCCTGAAGCCACTGATATTTTCAAAAGCTGAGTTTTTGATCATGAAAAAAAAAAGCTGCCCTTTAATTTCAGGCCGAACGGTATGAATTCTGTGGACAGTTAATGAGTGTGAATCAGTGCTCTGAGTGTTGTCAGAAGACACCAAGTCCATGTAGTGTTAATTACAGCTCTGTTCAATGATCGACATGCCCCTAACTGCCAGGGTGTCTGCCTTTTAACGTCAGCCGGTTTAATGTGCTGAACACAGGCCAGACTGATTAAACTGTTCTGGATCTTTGGTTAGCAAGGGCGTTGTGAGGATCAGAGCCTTGAAGTTCTGAAAACTGCGAGTTGCATCTTTAATCAGCCAATCAAAATGCAGACAATTACACCTATGATTTGTCAAAGTGAGAGTAAAATTTTCTTTGTTCTGGATATGTTGAAAGGTCTATTTTGAATCCGTTCTAGTCAATTCATTGCATTGTGTGATTGAAACCATACAATCTAATGTCAGTTCATTCTGCATCTGGACGTAAAGTTTTCAGTGGGAAAAACATTTCGTCATTCATCCAACTGACTTCTACAGTCTCAGCCTGGAACACCACTAAGTCACTGGTTCAGGTATGTGGATGACACCTGGGTGAGATCAAGTCTCAGGACGTACCACAATTCACTGATCACATTAACTCAGTGGACCAACACATCAAGTTCACCAGGGAGGATATGAAAAGTGACAGGTTAGCCTTCTTAGACTGTGAGATTTCCATCAGTAATGGGGGACATTTAAAAGCTGATGTGTACCATAAACCTACCCATGTGGATCAGTATTTAAGGTTTAACTCTCATCAGCCACTGGATTACAAACTGGGTGTCACTTAGGATGCTACAACACATAGCGATCACCATCCCACATATACAGTGGCCAGGGAAGCAGAAGAACATCATATCAAGAAGGTCCTGAGTAAAATATGGTTATCCCAGCTGGACAATTGTCAAAGCTGGGAAGGCACCTAAAGAAAGTTCCAGGCGATCAAGGACAACTGCAAAACCCGTAGTACATTTAACCCCTTATGTGTCAAGAGTATCGGAACAGTTGAGACGAATTTTTTCTAAACACTGAGTCGCTGTGGATTTTAAACCCCAAAACACACTGAGCTACCAAAAAATGGTCCACCCCAAGGATCGGGTCCCCCAACACAAACAGAGTAATATAGTGTACGCTATTAAGAGCCAGGAGGACTGAAATGATTTATACATCAGGGAAACCAAAAAACCTCTGGCGAAGTGGATGGCACAACACAGAAGAGCTAACTTGTCAGTCCCAGACTCCGCAGTCTATCTATGCCTACAGGCAAGTAAATACTCTTTCAGTGATGAGGATGTACACATCCTGGACAGGGAGGAGCGCTGGTTTGAGCGGCTGAGACTGAAGAAGCCACTTGGTTGAGCGACAAAATGTTTCTCCCACTGAAAATGCTATGTCCAAATGAACAGAACTTTTTGACTTTTCGATACTGGTTGTGTTCCCATTTTTTGATCAAAAGAAAAGCTAGTATCAAACATCAGTGTCATATTAGATGTTTTAAAGGGAAAACTCACTAAACCATTTATATCTAAATGCGTTGTCAACCTCAGAAAGAAACACCCGTGACTGCTAATACCACAGTAAGTAGTCCTCCATGGGCTGTGTCTAATGACGTCTAGCTGAAATACAACTTTGTTTTTTCGTTGTTTATAAAGATCTTAGTCATTTCACTTTGTTGTATGCTGTTTTTAATCTGGGAGCTGGTTCTTGTCTCAGTGACTACCCTTAAAGCAGTCTAAACATAGCACAGAAACCAATTTAACCACATCAGCCACAAGTGGAAGAAAGCAATCCAGTAGAGCTAAAAAGATTGAAATCAAGGTTCTTTTAAAAAATCAAAACCAGTCTGCCCAGTATTCTTGATCTTTCAGTCCATCTTTTTTTCTGTCCGACTGCATCTGGTAGCTAGCAGGGCGTTAGCATAGCAGTCAGTTTGCAGTCACTTCACTTTAGCTGGCTGGCATGGTCCTAGCCGAAGGTGGTACTCGGAGGTTTGCGTAGCCACTGGTAGAACTGCCGCCGGTGTAGGCGGTGCCAGCGCACATTGCCCTCGACAATTTCCAGTGCTCGTGGCAACGCAGGCCCCGCCCCCACACCACTGGACAGGATGAACTCCTTTAACTAAAGGAAGAAAGAATCACAGGAGTAAATAAGGCAGCAGAGGAGAAGAAAGGAAAGAAAATAAATAATAATAATATTCATCCCCTGTAGATGCTAAAAAGGCTGTCACCCACCCCCCTCCGCAGTGCTGAAAGAAACAACTTCTGGACTTTTCAGGATGGAGATCCCTAACACGGTGGACATTGATAACTTTCAGGCATGAATTGAAACTTGTGCCATGTCCATTATAAAAATCCACCTCTGGGAGAGTATATATATGACATAAATAAGGGAAAGCTTCATAATTCCACTTTTAGAAGTGAGAAAAAGTAAGAATGTGTTCTGTACAATTAACAGATACATTGCCAGTAGAAGTTGGAAAAAAACCAACAATACATACACATTTCATTATTTTAGTTTGAGGGTTTTGACCAGATTGTGAACCCAGCTGTAAGGATTTGCTCCCATTCAGCCATGAGAGCATTAGTGTGCTGCTACACTGATGCTGGGTGATAAATCTGGATCACAGTTGCTGTTCTAGCTCACCCTAGAGGTGTTGGATGAAACTAATGAGGTCAGGGCTTGCAGGATCTTCCGCAAACAGTTAACACAAAGTTAGATGGATACTAAAGCAAATAACTGAAAACTCCTGGATGATGTTTTCATGTCTCAAACAGGTTCTTTTAGAGTTGCACTGTAAACCTGCAAAAGCTGGAACATTTTATTGTATTTTATATTGATGCACTTTAATGTCATGGTATATGTACAGTTTCACTACATTTAAATTAAATAGCTTGTTAGCTCAGCTGAAATAGTTTCACAGTGTCTTATTTAATTTTCTTCACTTATGCATCACGGAGGAAGGCATGTGTAAGGTAAATAAACAGTTTCAAATTACATACTGTAATCATGGACATTTAAATGCAGTTATTCTTCATTCCTCTTGGCTTGAATGGTACTTGTGGTGAGTGAGTACACATTCTTGATGGTCATTAGCAAGACAGCTTGTAATTCACTTCACAGATTTTGCTTTTTTTCCACTGAGTGGAACACCACACTACACACAGATACCTGTGCTACCAATTACAGGTAGCTAGGAAACTACTCTGCTCACGGTGTCACACCTCACAGTGTCATTATAAAATAAAATTAAACAAAACCTCAGCAGCTGAACTGTAAACATAATGGATTCACATATATCATCAGTATTTCAGAGCCTGCAGAATACTTCCCAGACATGCCCACTTAGAATAAGGGTATACAATTATTTAATTGCTTTAATCATTGGGGTTTACAGACTGACTGTGAGCATGAATGTCATGAAAATATTTGGATTTTAATGATTTCTTCAAACTGTTCTTTTTCTAATGTCGTGTGATTGTATAGCATACATCTTAAAAAACAACATTCACACGTTTTTTTATTTGCTCTGTTTTTTCACTGGGCAAATTTCCAGCTGCCCTGCTGGTAGCACACTCCACACACCACTTCAGGTCCCAGCACATCTTTTACAAGGGAGACACAATCAGCTGACAGAGCTCAGGTGTGTGTCAGCCTCCCCTGACACCACACCCTGAACCCACTGCTCCAGCCCTCCACTGCAGTCAAAAATAGATTTATAAACCCCCCACTAATCTTTGGTTAGCTTTCCCATTACAAGCTGCACTTCGTCCAGATGCTTTTGGTAGCCATCAACAAGCTGCTCACATAATTCTGGATGGATATTTGACTATTTGTCTTTGTAGAATTGGTAAAGTTCATTTAAATTAGGGTTGAGGTCAAGGTTTTGGGAAGGCCATTCCAGAAGCTTAATTTTAGCCAACTTTCTCCATTCCAACAACAGTTTTTGTATGTTTGAGATCTTTGTCCTGCTGGAATAACAAACGTGTTCAAATTTCAGTCATCTAATTTGTAGGTAGTCGTCCTCCTTCATTATTTCATCCAGTTTGTGCAGAACAACAGCCCCAGTGCATGATGCTACCACCACCATGCTTGACAATCGGTACAGTGTTCTTAGGTTTTAAAGTCTCACCTTTACTCCTCTAAAAATATTTCAGTTCACTGTGGCCAGAGCTAAATCTTTGTCTCGTTTGACCATCAAACCTTTCTTCCGTAAGCTTGACTTGTACACGTGGGAAGCTCGAAATTTCAGTGGAGGTTGAAGGTGTTGATTTTGGAGTCACAGCTTCTTTCTTGGTCAGCACCCTGTCAGTCCATGGTGTTGTCAAAGTGACACTGGTGTTCCAGCAGTTTCCATTCATGGGAGGCTTGAGCCTTCATGATTCCCAACATCAAAACCAATTTCCTCTCACGTGAGGGTGACAGTTTGGGTCACCCTCACATAATTTTCCTTTCTTAGATCTTCGCTGAGTTTCTTGGACTTTCCCATTTTTCTGAGTATTGGTCAATCCAGTGAGTGCTGTCAAAAAATCCTTTTTGTGCTGCAAAGAGAAACGACCAACTGTAGTCAGTCATGATGACTAAGGAAATGTTAACTGGCCTGTACATATTATTTATATTTGACTCATTAACACTTTTGACCCTGCATAGATTTGAGAAAATCTATAATAAATTCAAACATGTGGACCCAATTCCTGTTTAAGTTATTATGTATTCTGTACAATCACTCCACCCTGGAAAAATAATGCCTAAAAAACATTAAATGTCCAAAATCACAGCATTCGTGCCTATGATGATTGGACAACAACTGTGCATGCACCGTATGCAGCAATAATGGCTGCTGAGAGATAATGGTCCTACCTGAAAGGCCTCGAAGTCCACATTAGGGAGGGATGGTGATGTCTTAGGTCGCAAATTTATTAGTTAGGAGATCATGGTCTGCATCCAAGTTTGAAACTTTTTTTTAACAATTTGTTTTGCTTGTTACAAGTGGAACTAAGGCAGCTGGACAAAGCAACAAAAAGGCACATGCATATACATTTGGCCATTTAGTAGCTGAAATACAAAAAGCTCTGAGGTTTTATATAAAGAAGACTTTGTTGTTTAAACACAGCTGAAGAAAAATGTTTGAATGTGAACATGTGATGTATTCAAGCTAAACTGTCTTTGAAAGGCATCAATTAATTGTTGAAAATTACTTTTTTTTTCAACAATTTATAATTACACATAAAATTTCCAACATGAAAGTGGAGATTTCAAAAGAAGACTTTGGTTTACAGGTCTGTAAATTAACAGGTTTTCAACATTAAGGTGTTTTTTTCTTTTTGGTCAAAAAGAGAAACTTTGTTCAAAGAAGTAAATTAATTATTTTTTTTAAGTTGAGAGCCAAAAAGGAAACTTAATGTTGCTCAGAGTTTGACAGATTCAGTGAAGCGCGGGCAGAAATCCATCCCTTCGGCTCACTTTACTACAGTTCACATCGTTAACCGAGCACTCCTCTGCGCCCTCCTTCTACCTTTCGTCTCTGCTATGATTTCACTTTTTGTTATCTTTACACTTTCCCTCTCCTGTGTGACTCACCCTAAGACCCTTTTACAAACTAAAAAGAATCATCATTAATATAAACTCATGATGTTTTTGTTTAGAGGTTTCACTGACAGCCAAACCTAATGCGGTTACCATACCAACAGGAAAGTCGAAAGAATATTAATCACTAAAGTTTAAATAAACAGATTTATTCGGAAACACCTACGACCTTTTTTCTCTTCTTTAATTTTATATTTAATTATATCTGATTTCCATCTTTTCATCATATCAAACAACAAGCGTAGTAGCTGTGAGATGATGCAACAGAGGAACGATTAACGTTGTTAATCAAGCTCTATTTTCTCTGAGTAATCAACAGTAAATTTGGAATATTGATCCAGCTGTGTGCCTCTCGAGAACACAATTACACACTGATTAATTTCAAGGTCCTGTTAATTTCCAAGCTCCCATACTGGCATGTAGAAAACATGCTAATCTTCCTTCTGGTAGGGTATAGCTTATTTATTCTTGCTTAGAATGGAAGAATTAATTTCCCTTCATTTATTTAGGCCAAATGAAAGAGTCCAGAGTCACAAAGTATTTAATGTGAAACAGTAAAGTAATCCAAACTTCCAAAGGAAGGAGAACATGACGAAGACAGCAGGGAGGAAAATGGATTGGAACACAGTGGGAAAAACACGGATGCCCCAAGAAAGGATGAAGGGAGGACTCAGGATATATGTACAGACAGAGTTAAATAGAAGAAGCTAAACAAATATGTAACACAGGTGAAAGAAAATCAGGAAGAAGAAGCTAAACTTCATAAAAGTCACAAAACAGTAACTCGGTCCCAACTGGTCAGTCTGTTTTACATCAGAACACACTGGCTCGGTCTCAGAAATTATCCAAAAGAGTAGTTGTCTTTGAATAGTTACAACATTTTGGCTCATCATCAAAATCTCTGTGTAGCATATGGGTGAGTTTTTCACCTTCATCAAATGAGGAGGGAAATTTATAAAAGGGAGATCTTTTGAAATTAAACAGGATGCGCTCACTGGTGTGTTACCATGCGGGATTCTCAGACAGACCACCTCCTCACTCATCACCTTTAAAAATGGCAACAACAACAACAAAAAAATACTCAACTCTTAAAACTTAAAGTTAGCAAAGTTAGTGAAGTTACCCTAACTTTGCTAACTTTAAAATGTGTGATGTCATAGTGGCTGCATTCACATTGTACACAGAGTCTATCACAGGAAAATTAAATTTACACAACAAGTAACTTTATGTCAGGGACCTGGATCTGAGCTATCGGGGGTCCCTGAGCTGTTATGGACTTGTGTTATATTATATGTGATACTGCGCTACTGTTCCGTGTCCACATTGGTATATAGGCAGGTATGTGTGTATGTGTGTGTATATGCAGCTGTTTCCTGTAGCACCTTTAGGCCTGGTGGGTGTGGCCCTGTTAGAAGGCGGGCCACCTCTGAAGACCTTTGCCAAACACCTGCGGCTGATCAGGGCTCGTCGGGGGAGCTAGTAGGAGAGTGCTGGAGCTTCCACCGATGCTGGATCATTGCGTGAGACTCCACGTTAGTCTTCCGGTCGAGTTTAGTTAGCGTGTGTGTGCCCGCGGTTGTATTGTGTCCTGACGGCTGCTTCTATTGTTTTCCCCAGGAGAGGTGTGGAGCGACGGACAGCAGCCAGCACGGGGAGTGCTGAGACACGGGAGCAGAGGGCACTAAGACACGGACTTTTCACGGAGGATGCAACGTGGGAGTCAGGGGAGAGCACAGGGATTTATTGTTGTTTTTTCCATTCACTGTGAATAAACGCACTGCTGATATTCAGAGCTCTGCGCCTGGATCCTCCTTCCTCACTTTCCCATGGTTCACCATCGTCAACTATGACACTTTAATGAACATCTTGATGTCTTTAAATCTGCTTTTGTGCCAGTTTGACACTTGATGGCTTTGGGATTTGATGATTTTCAGGTGAAACTAAAATTGGGAGGAATATACTCTTGGCCAGGAAATATGTTTTTTTTTAAATAGCAGCTTCACACCGTTCTAAACCCCAGATGTCACTTTCTATCGGATGCCATCTTTAGTCTACTGATCAAAGAAAAAACAACACCACTTGTTTCTATGTCTGTGAAGGTTCTCAGTCATCCAGGTCATCGCAGTCTAAGGAGCTTTGAAAGAAAAGCGTCTGCACTTCTTTAAGTTGCTTGAAGACGTTTCACCTCTCATCTGAGAAGCTTCTTCAGTTCTAAGGGTCAATGGTGGAGAGTCCCAGATTTAAACCTAGTGGGAGTTTCCCCCCAAAGAGGGAGAAAGGACCCCCTGATGATCCTCTACCTAATCACATGAGCCAAGGTGTGAAAACGGGTGTGGGTCACAATCAGCCAGGGTTTCGGGTGAGCTCATTGTGAAACCTGGCCCCACCCTATCATTTGATTTACTGAGGTCAGATGGCCCAGGATGTGAGTGGGCGTTAAGGCATCTGGGAAGGGATCTCAAAACTGGATTATAGATGGCAGACAGTTGGTGTCGTAAACCACCGCCTCTGTTCAAAGATGGTCGCTCACAGTGGACATGGCTTCTTTCACTCCTCTTTCAAACCATCTGTCCTCTCTGTCCAAAATGTGAACACTGGCATCCTCGAAAGAGTGTCCTTTATCCTTAAGATGCAGATGGACTGCTGAGTCTTGTCCTGTAGAGGTGGCTCTTCTATATTGTGCCATGCTTGTGAAGTGGCTGTTTGGTCTCTCCAATGTAGAGGTCTGGACATTCCTTGCTGCACTGTACAGCATACACCACATTGTTAAGTTTGTGTTTAGGAGTTTTGTCTTTCGGGTGAACCAGTTTTTGTCTGAGTGTGTTGCTGGGTCTGAAGTACACTGGGATGTCATGCTTGGAGAAAACCCTCCTGAGTTTCTCTGATACACTGGCTACATAGGGGATGACAATGTTGTGTCTTTCCTATCATCCCTCACTGGTGTCTGATCTTCTTTTCTGTGCCTCTTTGCTGACTTTATAAAAGCCCATTTAGGATAGCCGCACGTTTTGAGTGCTTCCTTTACATGTGTGTGTTCCTTCTTTTTTACTGCAGGCTTAGAGGGAACATGTTCTGCCCGGTGGTGTAGGGTCCTAATTACTCCAAGTTTGTGTTCCAGAGGGTGATGGGAGTCAAAGAGGAGGTACTGGTCCGTATGTGTGGGCTTCTGGTAAACTTCAATCTTGAGGTTGCCATTCTCTTCAATGTGCACAGCGCAGTCCAGGAAGGGCAAACAGTCGTCCTTTGTGTCTTCCCTGGTGAACTTGATGTTTTTATCCACAGCGTTAATGTGAGCAGTGAAGGATTCCACTTCTTGTGTCTTGATTTTGACCCAGGTGTCGTCTACATATCTGTACCAGTGGCTGGGTACTCTCCCTTTAAAAGAGCCAAGAACCTTTCTTTCCACTTCCTCCATGTAAAGGTTGGCTACAATAGGTGACACGGGGGAGCCCATGGCGCAGCCATGTTTTTGTCTGTAGAAACCCTCGTTGTATTTGAAATATGTAGTGGTGAGTAGGGCTGCTCGATTATGGCAAAAATGATAATCACGATTATTTTCACTGAAATTGAGATCTCGATTATTTGACGATATTTATTTAACCCTTTAAGACCTACTATAGAACCTAGTCCGCCAGAGCTTATATTATTTTTTTACATGTTGTAGTGCCATTTATGGGAGCATTTCAAGTTGCTATACAACTGTTATAGCCCATATTTTAATAATATGTATGCATTAAGTCCATAGTAAGTACATTAATTGCAAAAAAGTGCAATAAACTACAAAAAAAATTTGAAAATCGTTTTTGTTTGTTTTTTTACATATATTTCTACTTGGAGAAATTTAAGAGGTTTATCCCTCAAAACTTTAAATACAAAAAAGTTGCAAAAAATAGTTTACAACAACAGGAAACTTATTTTGAGTGTCTTCATAGTTTTATTTTGGAGATACACCAATTTTTATATACTGCAGGAAAAACAAAAAAAAACAATCCTATGATGCAAATTTGCAAAGAAAACAGCACGTGCATCAAAATAAACTATTTCCAGCAGTGCAATTCGAGTTCTAAGCATCCCAGAAACTATTCAGAAAAGTCAAACATGACCAGTATAGGCTTTTAAGGCCTACAAGTAAAAAACTACATTTCCGCGAAAATGACGTCACTTCTGGTTTCGGGCAGGAAATGGCAGACATGCGATAGTTCGCGCTGACGTCTGTTTCACTGTGGGAAGTGTTACGAACAGCTGATTGGATCGGCAAAGCGTGTTTCTGGAATATTATGTTTTTGTTCCTGCAAGCGCTTTTTATGCAATTTTTGCAAAGCTTTATGTGGAAGGAAACCGTGACCGAGGACAAGCTGATGGCATAAGATGTAAGTACAACTCCTCCGGTTTCGTATGCAAAACAAATTATTGCGCTAGCTAACACGGTTCAGGTTCTACAGGGATTTAAAAATAGTTACACAAAACGGAGCGTGCTGCTCTGACCGGCCTTAAAGGGTTAACAATGACTTTAAAAAATAATATAAAATAATGTGCAACACCACTGAAGTTTTTTTTTTTACCTCTCCTTTCAACCAACGGCAGTCACTCTCCTCTCCAAATAACTTCTGCTTAGCTTTCCGAGCTTCCCTCGGGTCCTCTTAATCAGCGGTCTCCAACCTTTTTTGCACGGACCGGTTTATGTCCGACAATATTTTCACGGACCGGCCTTTAAGGTGTCGCGGATAAATGAGGGAGGGGCTAATAATCGGCTCAGTCATTTTTAATGATCGTTGAAGGCCCAGATCGTAATCGTGATTAAAATTCGATTAATTGAGCAGCCCTAGTGGTGAGGCAGAGGTCTAACAGTGTGCAAATCTGATCTTAGACCACCACTTGTTTCACTCACCTCATTCAGTTCTCGCTCAGTGTTGAGGAACTCTGTGACTCCACTGATGAGTTTTGAATTCATGAACAAAGCTTCACCGTATCTGAACAGAAATGAAGACAGAGACGGCATTTCAGGTGCTACATGTAAAGAACTTGAAGACGCTTGCGTGCTTTTCTGATCGTTCACGTCTCTTACCGCGCGTTCAGGATGTCCCACTTCTCTCTGAAGTACCTCCAGGCCAGGTTCCGACCCTGAGGGTTTCGACCCACGTGGATGATGACATCAATCACATCCTGCTCTGGGACCAGGTCCGAAGTCAGAGACAGGTTCAACAGCCTTGGAGACACAAAGAAAAGGATGGAAATGTTGGAATGTGGCTGTACCAAGTCTACCTGGAGAGCTGATAGGTTCCATATATGCTAACACATTAGCATGCTCAACAAATATTGGCACGATCACAATATTAATAAAGACTGAAATTCGCTCCAAATACTGACTTTGAATTTAACTATAAAACCCTTAAAGCCGACGCTCACACTCTTCCACAGTGTTGTCCCATCTGCCTTCCCTGATGCATGAAATATGACAGCAGCTTTCAAGAAGTAAAGAGTTAAGAAAAAAACAATGTGGTATGTAAATATGGATCTTTTAAAGTTGAAAGTCGCTCAATAAACTTTGTTACCTCCTGTTAAAGTTTTGTCATACATGGATTAATAACCTCACATAGAAAGTTCTGTGCACCTCTGGCAATTGGAACTTGTAAAGTGTATTTTGTGTTCAGATATTAAGAGTTGTTTAGCCTCTGTTTCTGGATTTGGTGTGAGAGTCGCAGTGTGTGAAGTCTAACGCGTGTGTCACTCGCCAGGAGCGTGAGGGTCAACAGCTCATGTAATCTGGCTAGAAAAGGTCAAGCTGTCATTTTGTAGTTTTTTTGTCCTGTGAGCTGCCGGAGGATGTTTCTGCCAAATCAAGAAAGAGTCCTCTGAAACACTCACGTGAGCTACTCCCAGCTTAAAGGGGATTGGAGGGAATTTAAAGGGGATTTACAGAAACATGTTGATCACACACAGAGCAATCTTTTGGATGTGTAAACGTATCAAATTGAGAGTTTTTCTTTTTCTTTGAGATGTGAAACTGAGCAGGCCAAAGAGTTTCATAAATTTATGTTTAATCATCCAACGTCGTGTTCAAAGTTTACCTTCATCTCTCTTTATTTTCTGTTGCTTCACTGCCTCTGCGTGTGTGTGTGTGTGTTGCTTGGCTCATTGTTTGTAACTGCCATCTTTTCATTAAACCACCAAATCAATTTTCTCTCTCTTTTCCCACAACCCCTCTGCTGAAACCATTTCCTGTGTGACCAATCAGCTTCTTTCTGAGCTGTGGTTTTTGATTTGTGTGTGTGTGTGGTGTGTGTGTGTGTGTGTGTGTTGCAATCTGAACATACAGTACCACCTCTCTGATTGCAGAACAGTTTACTGTGGGTAGAAAATCAATACCTGAGACACACACACACACACACACACATTCACAGACACACACCTACACACACTGATCGGTCTTACCACGAGTGTGTGTGTAATTCGTCCTTGCAATTTTTCTCAATGAGCGATAGTGGCAGTTGCCCCTGATAAAATACAGTGTTGTGTATAGACAGTCACACAAAAACACACGTGTACAGACACACACACACACACACAAACCTAGCTGGATTTCAGCACATGTAACGCCCCCCAGGCATCTTTTCACTGCACACACCTTTCTGTCAATTTGCAATTTTTTCCTGTCAGTGTGCCGCCAATTAACAGAGCTCACCTGACAGGTAGGATTTAGTCACCTTTTTATTTTTTATTGTTCACTGGCTTGTTTGTCATATTCTAATACAGCCCAGTACAGACACAACTCTGCAGTATCGGAGCCATTTTCCAAATATGAACAAAGTCATTTTTTCCATGCTGTCCCCCAAATTTGGGCTTTTACCTTCATTTCTTGGTCTGATAATGTTTTTTTAGACCCAGTCTAAGTTGGTCTTAACCAAACTGTTCCCGGCAGCACGTTCTGTTTATTTTCAGTACATTTTTAAAAAAAATTAAAGTTCTATTTATTTATTCCATCCTCCTCGTCGGCCACGTGTCTGTTTTTGGTCCCTCTTACACAGACACCTATTACAGCTCAAAATAAATGTGAATGTTGTTACATATCTGCCGGAGGGTCTTAACAATTTAATATTATATGACATTTGCAGAACATGTACGCAAGATGCAATTAAAGACAAACAGCAGGAGGTAGATAATCCAGATGTGAATTAAGATCACAGCAGGAAACTTATTAAAAATAGCAGCAATGCAGAATTATTTAATATTCAGACTACACGATGTGACTGTGATACTGGCACAGCCGGACAGGCACAGAAATGCCAGTGGATGTTAACAGGTTAACTTAATCTCACTTCAGGATGCTATCCCACCACTGTCATTCATATATGTGATGCTCAGACACACTTGGCCTGTCTCTATGTTCCCCTCCAGCACAGGGTCATTGTTCCTGGCTCAAGTTTCAGTTTCAGTCACAAAATCCTGATTTCATACGGGAAGATTTGTTACTGCTGTTGCTTTCCTGAAAACATAAAAAATAGTGAAGCAGAATTCAGACTCATGGGTCAGTCTATCACTGTGACCATCTCGAAAGACACAAACAAATAGTTATACTGTATAGAATCCATGCGGGCCCGATGTGGGAGACCTAAATCCTTTGAGAGTTGTGTCAGGAAGGGCATCTGGTGTAAAAGTCTGCCAAATCAACTATGCGATGATCCCTTGTATTAGGGCTGCGTGGGTCTGACCACACTTGCCCTCACATGGGCCCCAAGAGGGCATATTTGTTGGGTAGATCAATGATATTGATTCATATGACTTTATGAATTGCAATTTAACCTCATAAACACTCAATGAGATAGTTGTGTTTTTTAAAACAATAGCTGCAATGACAGAGACAGCCGAGCCATGTCTACCTGTTGAGGAGGAAAGTGTTGTCTGAGCAGGTCAGAGCCTCCAGCAGGATCTTCTTCTCTGAAACGGCGTTGGAAGAGTGAAACTTCATCCAGATGAACTCCCACACATCCTCGTCCATCAGGCTGACTCCGGTGCAGTAAACTATGTCTCGGATGTTAGGAGGAATCCTACAGGGCAGGGACACAATATCACACCATCACACTGACTGAAGCCACTCTGCCCCGGTGCAACAAATTACCGGTATAGCAAAAGTCTGGTATCATTTTAGGAATGTGAGTATTTGATGTGACTTATTTGCAGTACCACCTTCCTGCAGGGACAGGAAGGTAATAAAACTAAAAGCCCCGATAAGGCATGTCTGCGGGATTAACTGGGACGCTCTCTGGGTGCTAAGTGAGAAATTCTGATTCCATTAAGAAGCTCCATTAAAAACATTCCTCCTGCTGCTGCTATGGTCATAAAATGCAGAGAAAGAGCCACACTCAGACACTTTTGAACAACTGAGACTTTAGAAAGTTTCAGGAAGTCTAATTGGCACGCATACCTCTAAATTTATTGTGTTGGAATATATTTTCAGTTTGAATAGCATACGTGCTGACTGCAGACAGCTTCTTTCTCAGCTGCATTCACAATTGCCAAGCCAAGCTTTAATCAGAGTAAACACAGCAAATGTTCTAGTCAGTGTCCAAGTTCCAACTTTGAGATACACGGCTAAGTAAACAGCCGAGACAGAGATGGCGATGCATAAATTCTGAGTAGAGGTTTAGGAGAATTCTAACTGAGATGCTAAAAAACACATTAGCCAGTCACCCTGCTGCTCTGATGAATGCTCAGAGCAAAGCTTCACAAGACTTTCGGTGTTGTGGTCGCAGGTAGCTGCTGCCTTGCTTTATTTGTAGCACGAACTACCGTGGCATTTGTTCTGGTGCTTCAGTGGATTCAGATAGTCTGACTGTGTTGGCAGGGTGGATGAGCCGTACTGCTGTGGAACTTTGTTCATGTTTAAGCTGCAGCGATAAAAGCTTTTTGATCCCTGCATTTCTTTGCAGTCACCAAACTCGTCATTTTGAACAGTTTTGAATTGATTTCGTGTTTTTATGTAATTCAAGTTGAGGCTGTTAGAGTTGCAGTTAAGAACTTTTAGATTCAGTTCCATTGCAAAACAATAAGTCCATAAGTGACTCTTTGTTGATGACCCTAATGTTCTCTCTTATTTATAAATTTGATGAGATGGAAGTCATTAAAATGGTATTCTGGACTGATCAGAACTAAAGTAAAGGAGGCTTGTTTCTTGTGTTTCCCATCCATAGTTAGTTGTTATGACCGCATTGTCGCAGCTGCAACTGACTAAAACAGAAGCTACTGCCCCGTAATAGTCTTTTAGTCATAATTACCAGAAGTTGATGAAAGTTGGTGGTGTAGTATAAGTGCTGGCAAGCAAGACCAAGCAACACTACTAAAACATGTTCAACATGGGAAGAAATATGAGCAACCAGAAAAAGTGAAAAGAAGCCAGTCACTTAAATCCTAAAAGTTCTCTCACAGGAAAAAAAGAGAGTGTTCAGCTATATTAATCATGGAAGGACTCATAAACAGTCACAGTCGTTGGGATGGCCAATATTTGCATTTTCACCAACTCTAAATACTCATTAACCCTGTTATTGGTTTACAACCTGTACAATCGACCAGCTGCTCTTGTCGTTTGAACTGAATATTGATCTTCCAGGGTGCCAGATATGAGTGATTTACTTAATGAATAGACAGGTACAAAAATAAGACCTGTCTAAGCAGAGATTCCTAGATTTCTCTCTCCCTCTCCAGCTCCTCTAACACTTACTTCTTCGGGGAGTCTGAGGCATTCCTAAGCCAGCTGAGAGATTCAATTTCACCAGCATGTTCTGGGTGTGCCCTCGGGTCTAATCTCAGTTCGAAATGCTGAAACATCTCACCTGTAAGCACCCTGGTCAAATCCTTGAATCATCTGAAATGGCTGTTTTTGATGTGGAGGAATAATGCTCTGTTCTGTCCACATCTCTAAGGGAGAGGTCAGACAGCCTACAGAGGAACCTCATTTCCTCTGTTGGTGATTACCACCAGCTGTAGATGAACCCATAATATGGTGATGTTTGCTTTTTTCAGACAAATACAATTATTTCAACACTAACAAGGTAGAATAATAACCTAAGCCTCTATCTGAATACATAGAAAACTCTGCCCCTGTATCCTCCTGGAGGAGGTTGGAGTGAGTGGCCGGGCACAGGAAGGTCTGGTCATCTCTGATTAGACTGCTGCCCTCATGACCCTTACTGGATCAGCAGTAAAAAAAAACACAAATTAACACCCATTAACCTCTCAACAATCAACAAGTTGGTACTGACCGTGTTAGGAGGTTAATATCCAACATCACAATATAACAGACTCGTTTGATGTGATAAACAGCTGATGGAGTTGATTCGTCATTAGCAAAGAGGTGAACAAGATATAATAACACAATATCTGACATTTTTTCTCTATTTATTGCTGCCAGTGTTTTATTGTCACAAATGCGTGTTTTGTTATTATATATTTTAGTCCATTTATTTCCATTTACAACATCGTTAGCTTCATAGCATAAGTGCCTAAGTCATTTTTTTGTGATGACATAGGCAGACAGACAGGATGATGCAGCAGTGGTAGGGGAGTAAAGTTAGGCAAAAATCTCAATTTGACCAAAAAATGACTTAGGCACTTATGCTATGAAGCTAACGACATAACACATGTTGTAGTTGCAGTCTTGATTCATGTTGCTTCTAGCTGATTACTTTTTGTAACTTCTCTGTGACACCAGAGAAAATAAACACACACAAAGTTTATTAAAATAAAATGAGCTGGGTTTGTGTCAGTCATATATCTGTAAAGTTGTTTTTTTGTAAAGTCTTTGAACACAAACTGAATGATGTTTCTTATTTTGAACCTGCTGTGAAAGCACCCCATGACTTGTGTCAACATTTATTATTGTGCTGTGTATCACCATTTGCAGGCAGAGCAATAAAAGTGGAATCTGTGAGGTGACCTGGCACACTGAATGCTGGTTACACAAACTGTCTCTCAGTTATCTGACTGCTGGAGGAAAAAAGCAACACCTGGTGGTACAGGCTGATTGATAAGAGCGAGATCTGGAGCCCCTTCGAGCAAGACCTTTGATACACCATGAATCTCATTTCATCCATGAAGGGAAAAAAGTCTACACAAATGTTCTGAACTGTCAAAACAACATAAAAAACTTCATGTGTACCTGACAAAGTCCACATCCGTGTAAGTGTCTATAAAAGATGGATGCAGCTTCATATTTAAGTGACTGAGTATGAGGCAGTAGGGCGTGCTCCTCTGGTTGTGAAAAATAAATCTGTAATATAAGTTTCTATAAGACTGTAAAATCTGCGGCATCAGTAAACACTTTCCTGAGTTTGTGGTCTCATTCTGATGTTTAATGTCTTATTTAATTCAACATGATGTTCAAGTTGCTTTATTTAAAGGAAAACAGAGAACCTTATTTGTTGAAAATCTGGTATCATATGTCTCCGCACCACACTGAATGTACCTCCTGTCTACTAAGAGCAGAAAGCTGAGGCTACAATTCACAGTCTCAACAAAAGATTAGAAAAATGTTGCCGGGTCGGATTTCGTCTCAAATTTTGCTGCATTTTGATTGTATCAACAACACGAGTGCATGAATCCATCCTACCTTGTATCAACGGTGCTGGAGTAAAGGTTATGGGGATATTTTCTTGGTGCTCTCTGGGCCCCATAGTAGCAAAAGAGCATCATTTAAACCTCACAGCCTACTGTACTTGAGTGTTTTTGCTGACCTTTATGAGCACAGTTATAACCATCAAATCATCTCAAACTGGTTTCTTGAACATGCCAACAAGTTCACTGTCCTGAAATGACCTCCACAGTCACCATTCCAACAGAAAACTTTTGGGATGTGGTGGAACAAGATGGAAGTGTAGCATGATGGTTTCATGTCAATATGGACCAAAAGTATGAGGTATGTTTCCAGCACCTTGTTAAATCTGTGCCATCAAGAATAAACTCTAAACCTCTTTAAAGCAAGGACAACCCCTGAAGCTCTTGTCTAAACTGAGCAGCTTCTGTCATATTTCAGGTGTGCTTATCTACTGAGTGTGAATCAGAAGTTGGTGATGGTGGTCTGTCTATGTAGCTACACAGAAACCGTTCTAATGGTTGTTGAACCACATTTACATATATACTGAATTGTCAAAACTCTTCATTAAAGGTTGAGAGGAAGTCATCAATGTTATCTTTGTAGGACAAAAAGTTACGGCAGCTCAAAGCAAAAGGAGGTAAAACCTGGTATTAGCAAGGTGTTCCTAATAAAGTGTCTGTTGAGTATATACAGTGTATATTTTTTTAGAGATGACCTCTCTATTTGGCAAGTTCTCACTATTTTGAGGAGCTGGGCCCAGTGGAGCCTTTGTGGGGGATGATAACCTGACCGTGTTCTGTTCTGCCTCTGTGGAGACCTCAAGGACAACCTGACTGCTTGTTGTCTAGTTCAGAATAACTTCACTGTGTTCCTCTGTATAGAGTAGCTGTAGGAAAGTGCACAAAGGTAAATCTCTGTGAAAGAATAAACTTCAGAATGTGGAAGGTCATACCCGATGTAACACCTGTGCTCGTCTCTGTTCTCCTTGAAGCACTTCCCTAATAATTTATTTATCTATTTAAAACTTTAGATCTATGCCTACTGAAAGATTATTTCTGCATGAGGAGAACCTGGTCTCACAAGATTTCAATAAGACTAGTCCGAAGGTCAAATTCAGACGAGAAAGTCTAAGACCGTTCTGTAGCAGGTTTGGGGGGGGGGTCATGTTTATTTACTGTATGTCAGATCAGATTTGCCCATTACTGTGCTGAACTGAAAATATAACTTTGATGAACATTTGAAAGAAACCTTGAATATATTCATCTAAGTTCCAGTTAGGTTTCACAGGACTGCCTACACTAGTCTCTAACATTAAAGAATACCCATTATTCTTTTCTTTATTTCTCATCATGCATTCTTCTCTTAAAATGCCAAATTAAAACTCTGACAACTGCCTGGAATGAAAAAGACAATGTTGAGTGAAACTTGAGTGTAAGTTTTATTTCCAGGGGAGCAATT